TATTCTGGGTGCTTGCTGTTTTCCCGGCCGTGCCCTTCCTGCCCGTGGGCCGCACGGCCGGGTCACTCTTGGGTGCCATGCTCATGGTCCTCTTCCGTGTGATGTCGCCCGAACAAGCTTACGCTGCCATCGACCTCCCCATACTCGGCCTACTCTTCGGGACAATGGTCGTTAGCGTCTACCTCGAACGAGCCGACATGTTCAAATACCTCGGCAGGCTCCTCTCCTACAAAAGCCGAGGCGCAAAAGACCTGCTCTGCCGAATTTGCCTGGTTTCCGCTATATGCAGCGCATTTTTCACAAACGACACTTCCTGCGTTGTTTTAACAGAGTTCGTGCTGAAAATCGCCCGGCAGCAAAATCTCCCGCCACACCCGTTTTTGCTGGCACTTGCCTCGAGCGCGAATATAGGCTCCGCAGCCACGCCGATCGGCAACCCTCAAAATCTTGTGATTGCAGTTCAGAGCGGGATCACGTTCGGGGGATTCTTGCTCGGGATTTTTCCCGCCATGCTCGTTGGGGTTTGCGTGAATATATTTATTCTCCTATGTATGTTTTGGAAATTGCTGTCCGTGCAAAAAGACGAGGAAGATGCTTCTACAGAGGTTGTGGGCGAAGAAGACATCACGTTTCACAATTTCTCTCCCGCCACTATGTCCCATCAAGCGTCCCTCAATTCTCAAGAGTTGGTCGCAGCTCTCGAGTCAACCGGCGCAAGCCCGCTCGAGTCAAACCTCAGAAATCGAGGTAACTTGTCCGAGGGGAATAATAGTGTGCGTAGCTTGCTCGGCGTGAACGGCCATCAATCGGAAGGTGAGATCAAGAATGTTCCGAGCGAGAGACTGGAAGTTAATGAGAATTTGGAGGATTTGGGGGGGTTTTGCTCGAGGAGAAGCTCGTCGGTGAATGGGATAGGGGCCGGAGGATTGGCCTCGTTTGCGGAGGGGAAGTTTGGGTTTTCGAGGAAGTGGACGAGGGCTTTGTGGAAGGCGTGTGTTTATTTGGTTACGTTGGGGATGTTGGTATCGTTGCTTATGGGTCTCAACATGTCTTGGACAGCAATCACGGCTGCACTTGCGCTCGCCGTTCTTGATTTTAAAGACGCTAGGCCCTCTCTAGAAAAGGTGATTCATGCAAAATATATATATCTATATATATATATATATACATACATGTATATGAGTATATGCCATACATACTCGGAATAATTGTTGTTTTCGCTAGGAAAAAAAAATGTCTTGGATTGATTCTCATTGTTAAGAATTCGAGATATATATAATCTTGATGATTGTAGTGTTTACTCTTCATCTTTCTGCAGGTGTCTTACTCGCTCTTGATTTTCTTCTGTGGGATGTTTATAACGGTGGATGGGTTTAATAGGACTGGGATTCCGAGCACTGTGTGGGAATTCATGGAGCCGTATTCGAAAATCGATCATATTGGAGGGACTGCAGTTTTGGCAGTTGTTATACTCATCCTCTCGAATGTGGCCTCAAATGTGCCTACAGGTGTGTGTTCACAAGTTTTCTCTTGAGTGTGCTTTTTATCTGGCAAATTTTGGAATATTTAAGTACTTATCGACTGTTTGTGAATGTTCGGCTCTTTGGAGTTAGTGAAAGAAAGCAGAACAAAATTGCACGAACAAAATTATTTCATGAAGAAAATGAAAGCACCCTTGTGCTGTATAACCAAATTATCATATTCTTGGACTTTGCTCGCTAAAATACAGACTATACACTGAAAAAAATCAATGATTCTTTGCACTTCACTCCAAACAAGCAACCAAAAGTCGATGTGTGTCTCAATCGTGTTAGGTCCAAGTCGAGTTCCCAGGGAGCTAAGTGCAAAATGTTTCAAGTTTAGACATGCAAAAGAGAAGTGTCCAAAACTAGATAACTTTGTGATTACCTATGCTTACAGTTACTTGATAGTTATAACAATTACTCATAACTCATTTACTCGTATAATTATAAAAAAAATTGTGCTTGGCTCGTTTTTCCAGTTCTGTTACTAGGCGGCCGGGTGGCTGCCTCGGCAGCCATGATATCGCCAACGAGCGAGAAGAAAGCTTGGCTCATACTGGCTTGGGTCAGCACAGTGGCTGGTAACCTCTCCTTATTGGGCTCGGCTGCTAACCTAATCGTTTGCGAGCAGGCCCGTCGGGCCCAGCACTATGGCTACAACCTGTCCTTTTGGAGCCATCTCAAGTTCGGGGTCCCATCGACTATTGTTGTCACGGCTGTCGGCTTGGTCCTCATCAGAGGTTAATCATGTAAATTTATGTGCATTTGGGAGGTTTGGGTGCATATTCAGAACAAAGATCTGATATTGTATTCAGCAACATTTTTTTTTTTTTTGTTATACTGTGAGTCTGCGACAGAAATTTGAAGTAAAATCAGGCAATATGTATTCAGTATTAAAAATCAATCCTAATAAATTTTGAGATTATGGGCACAATTTTATTTTTTTTTGATTGAGATGCAAACAAAATATTATAACACATATGTATTGATATTATATTTAAAATAATAATTTAAATAATGTAATATCACAATTGGAGCTGAACATTTTGATTTTATGCGACTTATGTGTCGTGGCAATCTTGTAATTTTTATTTTATTTTCTACGTTTAACTTGTAGCCGGCGGAAGTTTTAGCTCATCATTTATTTATTTATGCCACAATTTGCAAAAGAATAACAATAAAGAAAGTAATTTAATTTTTCTAAATAAAAATATAGGAAGATCTTACGGTCTAGTTACGGAACCACTTCGTCGAGATTTGTAACCGTTAGATTATTATATATAGTTGATCTAACAGTTACACATCCCGACGGAATTGTTCCAGCAGTTCCCAAAAAAAATATAATATCTAACAGGTGTGATTTGTTTAGCACATAAACCTAAAATATTTATTCAATTCTAATTATGATGATTTTTATTTCTAATTAGGGACAAATAATTTTAATCCATATTTATCAAAGTTACTACTTATTTTAGCAGGCAATGACTTGCCATTTTTTCTCATATTACACCAATCAATACATGTCATTTGACTGACGTATAATAATCTAGTAATATAAAGTCAATTGTTTAATAATGCAATATTCTAATTTTCTCACTTGAAAATTTATATTATTAAAAAATATAAAACAATTATATTATTAAATTTTAATAAATTGACCTGGACAGCTCAGTTTGTCTCTGCTCTTAAACTTCATTTTCTCGCTGTTCCTCTCCAAGCGATCTCTTCAGAAATCTGATTTTTCTTGCACACGCACACAACAGTTGCTCCATTCCTTTTGCTGCGTAGGCATTAAGCTTTTGCGGGCTTTGGATTTTTCAGAGCCAAAAGCGCAAATTTTTGTGGGTTTTTGCAGAGCAATTTGAGCTGTTGTTGGTTGCTCGTGAGATGTGAAAAAGATTGGAGCTTTGAGGTGAGGTTTTCAACTGGGTTTTGTAGCGATTAGTGTCACTTAACGGGCTGATTGTTTTTTTGCTACTTTTTTGAACTGTTTGTAGATCTTTCAGTGGGTTTGTTCTGTCGATTGCAGTTTATTTGTGTACTTGGTTATTGAGAAGTCAGTGATTTTTTTTTTCTTTTTTTTTTTCACTTTTTTCGATTTTTTTTTTGAAGATTATGTAGAATAGGATGGGAATTGTGTATTGTGTTCCTGCATCAGGGTAAAATGGTATCTAATTTTTGTTCTTGAAGTTAATATGTTTTAGATGATTTTTGTGAATTTGAAGCACTTGTTCTTGTAAGAATAGTTAATGTATTTGGTGGTGGTGGTGGTGTTGGATTCTTATAGGGAAGCACTGAAATATGGTTACAATTTACAAAGAAAAGCAAGAAGTTGATGTCTCAAAATTGGGAATGGGTCTGTATGGTTTTGTATGCACAGAGAGGCTTGGATTTTTTTTTTCCACATCTACAGTTGCTCGAATGCATAATTTATTTTCTTTCGTTCTTCAGTTAAGTAAATTTACGTCTCATTGACAGTTTCATGTTGTTGCGAATCTTGATTCTCAAGTTCTCGATGTAGAATGTAGTTAAAAAGAAATTTATTCTCGGATAAATGCGAATGGGATTGGCTTCATCCTACAGTTAATGAATTTGAGTGTGGTACCTAACGTGTTTTCTTTTTATAGAATGAAGATAACATGTTCTTTGCTGCTTTTAGAAGTACTATATAAATTAGATTTGAACTCCTTTCAATGAACAGGATTAGTCGAAAATGTAAAGATTTTTGTTTCGTGCAACATCCTCTTGTTCTGAAAGCCATCTTATGTTTCAGAAAAAGAAAACATGCGTATGTGGTGGGGGAAGTCATCATCGAAAGAATCAAAAAAGAAAACAACCAAAGAAAGTTTCATCAACACATTACATAAGAAGTTCAAGAGCCCAGAAAGCAAATCTTCCGGTAGATCAGGAGCCGTCAGAAGTCGGTCGGGTGACACTTTTTCTGAAAGAGGTTCTCATTCGAGATCACCATCACCTACAAAACACGTAGCCCGATCACAAAGTCTTGCCGAACGGGCTCAAGCCCAACCGCTCCCTTTGCCTGGCCTGGGATCTGCGAATGTATTCCGTACAGATTCTGCAAAAAGTGAACCCGCAAGACCAAAACAAGAACGGGCCTCAAAACCATCGTTGTTTTTGCCTCTCCCCAGGCCCGCTTGCATTAGGCACAGGCTGGAGCCGACCGATTTGGATGGTGACTTGGCTGTAGCTTCTATTTCTAGTGAATGTTCAATTGAGAGTGATGATCGAAATGAAATCAATATCGGAAGTAAAGCTGCAGCAGTCATCCCTTTAAGGTGAGTGGAGTTTCAAAATAATTCCAAAAAAAAAAAGACGGATTCTTTATCTAAATATATATATATATATATTTTTTTACTCTGATTGAAATTCTATTCTAAGAGGTTGTATACTTCCCTTTAACATGAAACTTCATTTTTGATTGATTGATTTTCTTGCTGAAGCAACTCTATAAAGGATCAGTCACCTATTGCACCGCAACTCCCAAAGGAGTTACCACTACCTAAAAGGCGTCCTCTGAGCCGCCAAGTGTCGAATCTACAGGTTCCTTTACGTAGCGTGCTTTACAGCGCACCAGATAGCTCGATTTATAGTCCTTCTAGAAGTCCCATAAGGCCTTCTGCTAACGAGCAGGCAGCAAATTTGGCTTTTCCCGCTGGGAAGCTTTATCCGGAGCATTTCTTTCTTTGGTCCGGTCAATGTTCCAGTCCCGGCTCGGCCGAGACCTCCGGGCATAATTCAGTGGGAGGAGACATATTGGGCCAATTGTTTTGGCAGCCCAGTCGAGGAAGCCCGGAGTACTCTCCAACTCCAAGCCCACGAATGACGAGCCCAGGCCCGAGTTCGAGAATTCAAAGTGGGGCTGTGACACCACTTCATCCTAGAGTTGGAGATGATGGTAAACAGAAAAGTCACAGATTGCCTCTTCCTCCCGTAACAATTTCTAGTTCCTCGCCATTTTCCCATTCGAATTCGGCTGCCACGTCACCTTCTGTACCGCGAAGTCCTGGACGAGCAGAAAATCTTGTGATCCCGGGCTCGCGTTGGAAAAAGGGGAAGCTGCTCGGGAGGGGAACGTTTGGTCATGTATATGTTGGTTTTAATAGGTGCATAATCAGAATCAAACATGATCCTTCTATTTCCTTTTAATTTTATGGTTTTTGTCTTAATCATTTGTCTTATTGCTGCTTTCTAGTGAAACTGGAGAGATGTGTGCCATGAAGGAGGTAACGTTATTTGCCGATGATGCAAAGTCGAAAGAAAGTGCGAAGCAGCTTGGACAGGCGAGTCTCTTGATCATTATCCTTACGGAGAGCTCGACTTGTTCTGTACAAGATATTCATATTTGATTGACTGGTCAATCCATTTATGACATTTTAGAAACGTTTAACAATCATTTGTGTTTTCTGTACAGGAGATTGCATTGTTGAGTCGCTTAAAGCATCCTAATATTGTACACTATTATGGATCAGAAACGGTGAGTCATATTTTTTCGGTTATTCCTCCATAAAGACATGATACTCTAATTTTTTCTCATGCCATTTTAGTAAAATTGCAATTATCCAAAGCCTAAATCATATTTTCAAATGAAGGAAAGCTATTGCGTGGAACTGTAATGCATTTTGGTGGTGCACATTTACTTCTAGTATAATGCATTGAGATAAATAAATCTTTAAAGCTAATGTCAATTCCAAACTGTTTACTCTATCAGGTGGATGATAAGTTGTATATTTATTTAGAATATGTATCTGGTGGTTCTATCCACAAAATCCTACAAGAATATGGAAAACTAGGAGAATCCGCTATTCGCAGTTACACTCAGCAAATCCTGTCGGGGCTTGCTTATTTACATGCCAAAAATACTGTGCACAGGTACGCGAGATAACTTTTTGTTGGGTAAATTTTGTTTAAGGCCTCCTGTGACTCCTTTTTAATCATTTGTTATTTTTTTCTATAACTTGATGTTTCGCTTTTGTGGCAGGGATATTAAAGGAGCGAATATACTTGTGGACCCAAATGGTCGTGTTAAGTTAGCAGATTTTGGCATGGCAAAGCATGTAAGTATTACCAGTTCCTTTCCAGTGATTATTCTACTTTTTTTTTTTTATTTATTTATTTATTTTTTTTTCCTTCAGAGCCATAATATTCCTTGCATGGAGTTTATTGTGCTCAACTTCAGTTTGCTGACATTTATGGTTTTTACAGATTACAGGCCAATCATGTCCTTTATCATTTAAGGGTAGTCCTTATTGGATGGCACCTGAGGTTTGATTCGATTTTGTCATATAATTTTCCATTTTTATCCTCGACAACTTTCTTTCTTTCGGATACATTCTTATTTCTCTATGTTTTGTTGGCTTAGGTCATAAGAAACTCAAATGGGTCTAGCTTACCTGTCGATATATGGAGCCTTGGTTGTACTGTTTTAGAAATGGCTACATCAAAACCTCCTTGGAGTCAATATGAAGGGGTTCGTTTATGTCTGATCCGTGAAACAAATCCAAGAAATGATTTTCAGTTCTCTCTTTCTACATTATACACATATATATTATGTTTTACCTTTTTTTGGTTTTTACAGGTGGCAGCTATGTTCAAGATTGGAAATAGCAAAGAACTTCCAACTATACCCGAATACCTTTCGAACGAAGGCAAAGACTTTGTGAAGCTGTGCTTGCAGCGAAATCCCCAGCATCGCCCCACGGCCACCCAACTTCTCGAGCACTCTTTTGTGAAAAATCTGGAGAAAAACATCTCACCGTCAGATCATCCACCTCATGTGAACAATGCTGTCAAATCAACGGTGCAGGTACAGTTAGATTGTAGTATTTTCTGTCTCGTTTGGACAAATTTGAGTTATAATTCGTCATACGTTATTTTAATAGGGCAATGGCCATGCAAGAAGTCTTCAGCAGTTGGATACTGAGGGACTTGCTATCCACTCGTTTAGAGCATCGAAATCTAATTTTCATTCGAGGTTTGAAGTAATTTGTTATTTGAGAGAAAAAACTCACAGATGTCCAAAAATTACAGAAAAATGTTCGATCTTTTTTCTCTTTGCAGTGACATTTACATCTCGAGGAACATTTCATGTCCGGTGTCTCCAATTGGGAGCCCTTTACTCCGCCCGAGGTCACCTCGACAACCGAACGGGATGGTGTCACCTTCTCCTATATCCAGCCCACGCACGACATCAAGCACGTCACAAGGGTATTTTGGTAATTTGACAAAGCAGCCTCCGAGCCCCCGTGGCTATAGCCCCTCTTATTGGGACCCCCACATTCTACTAGGGCGGCCCGTCAGTGGAGAAATTTACGATGGGCGGTCGGGTTTGGTGGAGATCCCGGGACAGCAGGCCCATCTTTTGAATTAACTCGACTGTTTTTTTTTTTTTTTGGTGGCTTCTTTTTGGAATTAGAGCGTGTGAAGGTGGCCGTTTTGTAACATCGTCGGAAGCTTTTATTTTGTCCGGCGGGTGGTTAATGGTTTCGATGTATAGCTGATTATCTGTGAGATCTTTGGCATTGAGGTTGTATATGTACATTGTTGCATTCTTGCTTAGGAAGGGAAGAGAAAAGATTAAAATGGGGATTTTTATTTTTTTTACCTTTCAAAAGGACTTTGTCTCACAAACTTTTTATTCTGACATATTATCTCTCAGTATACACAAAACTGACAATATGTCTTCTCTATTAAAATCCCTAAGATATGGTTTATTTGATTTCTGAATATTGATATATCAGGTTTATTAATTTCTGAAATTGATACATTATATATGATTTATTTATTTTTGAAAATTTATACATTGATAATCTATTGAGAAGAAGGTAGGCGCACGTGTGTATGAACAAATTTTTAATTTTTTTTTTAAAAAAATTTAAGATATTCAATTTCTGATTGTGGTGTGTCATTTAAAAGTTTGCATGAAGTTTTATAATGAAGTAGAAATTGTGATGTGTCAATCGATAATATAAAGGCACCGTGTTGAAGATGAAAAATATGCATCATCAGAATTTTTGTTAAGTGTGATAGTTGACGTGGAAAAGTACACCGCTGACTCTTTTTTTCTTTATATTAGTTTAATTTTTAAAAAAAAATTAGGAAGATGCTAATGTCCCCTTACGGAATTATTCTATCGAGATTTATAACTATTAGATCAATTATCTTTGACGATTTATAACTATTAGATCAATTATCTTTGACGGTTACATGACGATTTAACTGTTAGATCAATTATCAAACGGAATGGTTCCGGACCTAGCATTTCCCAAAATTTATATGTATAATTAAAAATTTCGCATTGGCGGTGGAAACAGGGAACAGACAAATTCTTTCAGCTGTATGAACTGATGAATTTTTTTATGTGTATTTTCCTGGGAATTACTGAAGCCCTTCTTCACAGTTACCTTTCAAGAACGAAAGCGGATGAGCTTCCATTAATGCCATCTCAAATCTTAGAGCCGAATCCTAAAAAAATAAAAAAAAAATTAAAAAAAAAATAAAAAATCAGCAGCGATTCAGATATTCTGTATGATCCCTGAAATCGTGGTTCAGATTCAGAAATGTCTCGATACGACAACTGGGAGAGGCTTGTGGCCGCCGTGTTGAAGAAGGAGCAGCTATGGCAGCTTTTTCATGCCCAATCGAGAAGCACTAGCATCAGCTCTGAGTCGTCTGGCTTCAGCTTCGAGGTAGGTGATAATGAA